ATTTATTGTATTATATTTAGTGTACTATTATTATAATGTAAGTAGTGTATATAGTATTTATTGTATTATATTTAGTGTAATATATTATAATATATGATTATAGTATTTAAAAAGTAATATTCAATTATTAAATCTTCTGAATGAAATCTGACCAAGGATTTTCTGAAAAATATTATTAATACATTACACAATGATAATATATTACATTGTTTGTTATAGTGAATAAAATTAAATATTAATTTTCAATAACAAATAATAATAACCAAATTTATTCATTATTTAAAAATATTATTAATTATTGTATTTATTGTATTATATTTAGTCTACTAAAATTAAATATTAACGTTACAAATATTATATTTTCGATAACAAATAATATATAATAACCAAATTTATTGATTATTGTATTTAAAAATTATACTGATTATATTTATTCTACTGTTGTCATAATGTATGATATTGATTATAATACTCAAAAAATAATATTCAATGATTAAATCTTTTGAATGAAATCCCACCAAGGATTTTCTGAAAAATATTATTAATATATTACACGTTGATATACGTTCGTTATACTGAATAAAATTAAATATGAATTTCCGATAACAAGTAATAATATATAATAACCAAATTTATTCATTACTGCATTTAAAGATATTATCGATTATATTTATTTGTATTTAAGAAATAATATTCAATTATCAAATTTTTTGAACGAAATTCTATCAAAAAAAAAAAAAAAAAAAAAAAAAAATGGGAAACCATTATATCTATGAGGGACCGTAATACCAATAAAGAAAATACATATCCCTCGCAAGAGCAAAAGCTTTGCACATCGTTTGTACAACGAACAAACCTACTGGCGCTCGATTTCGAAATTATCCCGATACACACACGGCCCGCGAAACATACAACTCCAACGAAATCCTTGCTCTCGTTTACAGAGACGGGGGACGTTCGTCCCAGTAAAGTGAAAGCATCGAAACGCGCATCAGAGCGTAGGCACGCTCTAGAAATAGGGGATGCTGCCCCGTGAAGAGAGCGAGACGATCGATCAATCGCTCTCACGGACTTTTCGCATACGTTAACATCGAGTAGCTCGACACGAAGGGGGGAGGAAGGAAAAAGAACGAGACGAAGAGGAGATAGATGAAACAGGAACGTGAGAGGAGGGAGGGGGGAGGTGGAAAAAGGGATAACGACTTCGCTGTTTTCGATTTTGCCACGAGCGCGAGAGCTTCTCATCTCACTTACTTTGACTGTAATTCAGTAAACCGGTGTTGCTCGGTGAAGTTCATAATAACTGACGCAAATGAGAGGGCTCTCGTAATTAATTCGCGCGTACTTATGGCGTAGAATAAGGGAGGCAGCGAGACAGGGATAGAAGACGGGGGCAGGGGTTAGCTGAAGACACGTTACTCCGTGCTGAGCTTGCGTAATCTAGTATCTGCAAATCCCATGTCGAAAGCCTGCCAACAAAGCAGCGAGTCAACGCTGTTAATTTGTTAATTTGTAAAGCGAATCGAATTCAGTTTGACGAATTCAGAGGTCACGTGACCGCCTTGCGCGAGTAGCAGCTGAGAAAGATCAACCCGTGAAAATTATTACACGCCGCTGGCGAGAACGATTCGCGTGTATGTACGCAGGATGAATAGTAGTCGCCAGTTAAGCGTCCGAAGGAAAGAGAGGGGATGCTTCACGCTGCGTAAAGTAGCGTAGAGTGGGGGTAGTCCCTATTGGTGGGGATAGCGACAGCTATCCTGACCGGAGAAAACTTCGGGAGCTACTGTAGTACTCGCCGAAAGATGACAAACCCATTATTAATACTTTAACCTAATCGCGCAGAATAACGAGTCAGATGCGTGGTGTATTTTTGTTGCGATAATATGCATTAACGCGTGCAAATTAATTGTATCGCGATTCATTTCGAATAATAATTATTCTATACAATTACGAAATAGTTTTTTTTCAATTAATTACGAAATAATTTTGCTTTGTAATTAAGCACGGGCAAACGTAAAAATAATTTTGAAAAGTGTAGCGACAGCGACAGCGATGAACAGATTTTTTTTTTTTTTTCAAAGACAGAAAAGTAAATGTTTCAGACGTATATAACAAGTGAAAATAATGCTAATGATTGGAATTAGATTCCCAAAGATAATAATACAGGGTGATTCACGTTACCTGGAGTATAACTTTTTAATTACGCGTCTAATGAAAAATTGTTCAATACAAGATTTGCATTGGTTTCAAGGGAGGCAAAATATGGCGTATCAATTTTTGTTGTGTGTTGAAACTTTCAAGGTCACTTCTATTTTATTTTTTTTTTTTTTAATTAAAAGTAAATTTTTACTTCAGAAGTCTTTCAAACCGAGACTGTTAATCTTTCGATCCATGTTTATTAGCACATTTTTTTTCCATGTTTCGGCGAGTACTACCCACCCTAAGAAGTTATAAACTCTTTTTTCACCCTGTATATTTACCTGGGGAGGAGAATAATTTTCAGGTATTCGAGAGAGCACGATTGTATCATTTAATCCGAGATTGGATTCTCGTAATCGATAAATATTACAGCATCGATTAAATACATTCATTAAGCTGATTTACATTTACGAACTCGACACGCACTCGACGAAGCTAAAATGCTAAATTCGGTCCTCGCATTCACGACTATTATTGCACTTCTTCTGTATCGTTTGGAGGGATCCACCTTTGTCGAGATATCGCGCGTTATTTTCAAATTTCCCAGATAAAAATAGTTGACACCATTTTCACCATTTTAGCCGATGGCATAGTCTTTGCAGCCAACACAGAATCGAAAGGCTGGTGAATCGAAAGGGATGATGAATCGCGCTAAACAAGAGTCGAAAGAGCTAAATCAAGTCCTACGTTTTTTCCCTTTCTTTCTTTCTTTCTTTCTTTTTTCTTTCCTCACATTCCTGAGACTTTCGCCGAGACAGAGAGAGAGAGAGAGAGAGAGAGAAAGAGAATTTAATTGCAACTGTACTCTGTAACATCTCATGAAAATTAACAACGGCAACGCAATTACGAATCAACGTTATACGATTTCGTTGATGATGAAACGCGAGCTTCTCTCATTATCCTTTTCCTTTACGCAGCTTTCGTCCGCGGTATCTTAAAAATAAAGGTGCTCTCGAAGAGGTGTGGAAACAAACGATCGGGCAGAAAGGCGAACAAAACGCCATTCAAGCACAACATTCGAACACAAGTATTCGAAATTATTCGCAGGCTCGTCACGATCGCGGTGTGGATCCTCGTTTGCGTGTAAATAGTCGCATTATCAATTTCAGTGTGACTACACGGTTGGCAAAGCTGATTATTTCCGATTATTTTTCGGCGGGGGGAACATACAAAAGAGAGAGAAAGAGAGAGAAAAAAGAAAGAACAGTATATAACGCAACGACAGAAAGTAATACCCTGCGGGCGCATCGATCATCATTCGTATCTCGGTGTTTGATATAACCGCGCGATGAAACGTGACGCGAGAACGATCAATTTTCGGGGTCCTCCGTTCGTCGCGAGTGGCCGCCATTTTGTCGCGTTTTAAAAAATTACCCGACACAGAAGATCTGAAGCTGAATCGTTCGAAAAAAGGATCTCGTGGGTTCTTTTGAATATCTAGTTCTTCGTCTATCATTGAATCCTGCGGACCTCGCCATTTCGATACATGGAAGATCAATTCGCCAAAAAAAAAAAAAAAAAAAAGAGGAAGAAAGAAAAAGTGGGAAAAGGCCAAATGTTCGTTCCGCGTTCGGAAATCGACGGGAACAAAAAATAGACGGTGTATATAAGCGAAATATAAATGCAATTACCCGAGAATACAATGTGGATACAGTGTGAACAGATGAAACGAAACAAGTAGTTTGCAACGTGCGAGCACGATTATTAAATTGTAATACCGAAAAATGTAGCGGAAGCCCGGTAGATGACAGACTCGAAAGCAGGAAGTTTCATCGCATTCGGAAATTATCGGGGGAGAAATTGAATTATTCGATGGGATGATAGATCTCGAGGCGAACTTGCGACACGTAGAAAGTGGATGTATGAAAAATTCATTGGTCGACGGGAGCATTAACGCGGAGCAACGTTGTTTCTCGAAAAACTTCGTCGATATTGCCAGGCGACGCCCAGGCCAAAGTGGGATATCATAATTGAAAACGATGGATAATTTTTAGGTGAGAGCAGACCGTGTCGCGTTAAATAAACAAAGTTTCGCTTGATCTACTTTCGAGAGAACAAGGACAACTTGCTCTTCACCGCGTATTTTCGCCCGTGTCATCCTGCAGCGAGAGTCGAGAAATTGCGTGAATCAAAAAAGAAAGAAAGAAAAAAAAAAAAATTTCTAAAACCAAAGCTTCTGCGAAGGAGACATCGAAGATCCTTAAATGAGCGCGGGGCTCGTTGCATGGAAGATGAAATTTAATGCTAGTGACCGTATTATTCGCGCGTACGATGCACACGAGCCGGAAATGTCTCGCAAGGGAAACGCGATTGCGCGATCCACGGGAACTTAATCCCGGTTAATATATAATTCGCCTATCAAAATTGAACCCCCGTATAATATTTCGAATTTTTAACCTGCGACATTAATGAAATAGAATCCGCAGCCTGCTACATATGTGACGATGAGATCAGGCAGGGGGATCTATTAACGTATTCAGTATTGGAACGCATAGAATGGATAACGCCACGTATGTGATATATACAATTCCAATAAATTCGACGTGCAGGATGCCTCGTGATAGACGAATCCCATGTTCAAGGGAGAATGGCAACGAGATGTAGCCAGGATAACAAGATAATTTTGTTCGCTATTACTATTATTCATCCGATCTCGTAATTAGAAAAATCGCTTTAATTAACGCGTGTCATCGACTTGGTTGTCTGTATTATAAATTGCAACCTCTTCGTCATTTAAGTGTTAATTTTAGGTTGGTCGTAATTCCAACTCAATTGGTAATATAAAAGATATACACCTTTTGCACGTTTGTATTTGTTACACGTTTATTGAGTTGCGCGATATTTGATAAATTGTCAGTTTTAATGGTTGTTGAGTAACAATCGATTCTGTTACTAATCAATATTATATTTGTTTAATTTACTGTATGAATAATTTGCATGAATAATTATCAATGATGTTATTTCTTATCGGTTACCGGGCAATTTCTAATCATATTTTTCTACTAATATTTTCTTCATTATCGATTGACGAGGTGGTTGCAATTCCATACAGTGTTACCGACAAACGGTAAATCTCATAGACCTCGTGCTACGGTTCCAAATATTAAAAGTTTCGTCTAAAATAGTTTCAATTTCAGACAAGGTATATGAAATTTCAATTAATAAATACGTGATACTTCCCTCCCCCTAAAAAAATCTATTCAAATATAATACAGACAAGAATGTGTTATTTCTATACAAATAAAATACAAATAAGAATAAAACACATAGTGATCATACGAATAAAAATGCATTTGACTTACGATTCGATGCGAAGAACATTGTCATCGTTGTGCCAAGGGAAGCAATCGTGAAGCTCGTCAACAGGAATCGAGTCCCATGGGAGAAGTGAAAAATCTATAACAGAATATAGAGCATATTAGTTTAATGACTGTATTCAGTTCAAAAGAGAAAAGTTCAAACTTTCTAAATTTCCAATGAAATTTTGTTTTTTTTTTTCAGTAATGAAAATTAAAGCAAGAAGTGGAGTTATTTCAAATACAGTTTATAAAGGTACTTACATCATTGATTTTTGAAGCATCATAGGGAGAAATGGAGGTTATGAAAAAACCTACAACAAAACTTGAAATTAAAATTAAAATGAAAATTTATTCATAAAAACGATTATTTGCAGTAAATTATTGAATAAATGTAAAATAATTCGTTCAATTATATTGAAATAAAATAACAAAGTACATTTCGAAATATATGAAAATTCTTATAAATTTTCATCTCAGTATTCTCAATATGAAATTATTTATCATTAGTTATATATATATTCCTGTATACTTATTAACTACGCAGTACCAATATTAAACATTATTGCATATTAATTAATTATGAGTATTACATTAATTATAAATCACAAACATATACGTACCTTCCTTATAATAAATCAAAATCCGCAGTGAAAATTATCGAATCGTCGATTAACCGTTTTTGGCGCCATGTTGCAAAACTATTCGTTCGAAACTACCCACGTGATCGACGAATATTCTGTAAAAGAAGCCGAGAATATAAAACAATTAAAATCAATGATAACAACATGAAATAACAGCTCAATATACATCCCAATTTAAAAACTCGTAATATAAAATAGAAATAATTCAAAAATCAAATACGTAACCAATAAAACAGAACGAATGTCACTTTGGAAAACCATGTAATTTCATTACGTAAATGTATGATAAATAATAAAACACAGAGCACAGAGTATATTTTAATTATAGTCAATTGAAATGAAAAGTTTAAAAATTTGTTTCTTCGGCAATGACAATAATTTAAATTGAAAGTATTTAATGCTAAATCTGTGTGTGGGAAACAAATGGCGGAAGTTACCGGTATTATTAACAATCGAATACACGATGCAATGAGAAAGAATTCGAAGAATGCATTCATTACATTAATAAATGAACACGTATTAATTAAACAAAGATGATAGTGATGATAATGTAACGCAACTGATTTTACCTCAAAGGAATTAATACATGTCGTCTTGATTTTCGACAGTCACACGCGTCCGCGCCACGTTTCACTAACAATAAGCAAACTTCGTATGGTGGGGGAATGTTTTGAATTGGCGGCAAGTGAAACGTATTCAAACCGGCAAATTCTTGGAAATGATGTAAATTCTAATATACGATGGTATTATTGATTCATTTGAGATATTACATATAAAGAAAGTACAATTGATCAAAATATGGATTAAATATATTAAAAAAGAAATATATTTAATGTATGAATTAAATGTGAGAGAAAACACTATAATACCGCGATGATAGCGCACTCTTGTGAGAATTATTCTCCCGCGCAATAGCAAAGTAATTTAAAAGGCAGTCTAAATTTAAGAATAATTATTAAAATTAATTTGAAATTTTTTTATTAAAAATTGAAAAATATTTTATTCTGCATTTCTTTTTCTGAAATTTTTTCACGTTGTAGTTTTGATAATCTAAATATTTATAATTTTCTAATCGGTCTCATTACATCATTGAAAAAGTCAAAGCACATTACTGAATAAAACTAAAAATTTTCACAATAATATATGAAATGGAACCATATAGATCTATTAATTTTTATAAGACACCAAGTTAAAATTCATAGAATATAATTTTAAATTCATAGAATATACATTAAAGAGAAATATGTATTCGTATAATTATAGTGCAAATTTACAAATTTCGATTGGTTGGAATAAACTTAATATTTGTTTTATAATTTAACACGGAATGTTACATAATCTTTAAGTTTTTCAATAACATAAAATTATAATAATATAAAAATCGACAAAAATCTATATGAAATCTAGAGAAATAATTTCAGGCGTAACCACAACGAGGTTGGAAACACTATAGTAAACCTACTACTCAATGTTTAAGTGACTGTGAAAGTTGTGTTTGTTAAGTCGTGACAAAACGTATTAATTGAATGGAAATATTTGTATTGTATAATCTTAATTATATATAATAATTATGTATAAAAATCATTTTTAATCTGTTAAAGAAAACATATAGACGAGAGTAATTCATGATTTTTTAGTTATAATTTAGTGCACAGAAAGCAATTATGGCTGACGCTGCGGCAAGGCAGTTGCAATATGAATATAAAGCTGTTAGTATATATTTATTAATTAGCATAAAGATAATTGAATGTAATTTTATTTTTCCGATGTAATTTTATTTTTGTAATTTTGATTATTACGCGTATTTATTCTTTTGTTATATTTAATTATTACACGATGAATAGGTTAAGTCCTAACCTTAATCAAGAATTAAACAAGATGTTTCTACCAATCAATAAATGTTTATATGCTTGTTCCAGAATTCTAACCTTGTACTTCAAGCTGATGTACGATTAATAGAAAGACGTAGCAGAGATGAAGCCACCGGTGAGGTTATGTCCCTTGTTGGAAAACTAGATGGAACACGAATGGGTGATAGAGCACAACGTACTAAGCCAGGAAAGGCAGAGGAACGAAAAGTCAAGTAAATAATATGATGAGTTATTTACAATATTTATTATTATAACGAAATAGTTTGTATTAAATATCCATTTTTAATAGGCGTCAGAAGCGAGATGAAGCTCAATATGATTTTGCAAGAATGAAGGGTGCAACTTTGCTCTCAGAAGGTGTGGATGAAATGGTTGGAATTGTTTATCGCCCTAAAACTCAAGAGACGCGTCAGACTTACGAAGTACTATTAAGTTTTATTCAAGAAGCCTTAGGAGATCAACCTAGAGATATTCTTTGTGGTGCTGCTGATGAAGTACTGGCAGTCTTAAAAAATGACCGGCTTAAAGAGAAGGAAAAGAAAAAAGAAACAGAATTATTATTAGGTCCATTAGCTGAAGAGAGATTCGCATTATTAGTGAATCTTGGAAAGAAGATAACAGATTTTGGAAGCGATGAAAAAACTACTACAAATGAAGAAAATATTGATGAAACATATGGAATTAACGTACAATTTGAAGAAAGCAGCGAAGAAGATGACGAAGATGTTTACGGAGAAGTTAGAGAAAATGATGATGAAGGCGATGAAGGTGAAGAAGCTAATGACGATAGAGCTATTCATGCTGAAAATGTAAATATATGATTTATTTCAATGAATACGAAAAGAAATATTTGGTGATAAATAATTGTATTATTTTTTAGTTGGGTGGTGCAGAAGAAATGAAGAAAGAGAAGCCATTACATCCTTTGGATATAGATGCATATTGGTTGCAGAGAAGATTAAGTAGGATATATGATGATGCCATGGTCTCACAAGCAAGGGCTGCTGAAGTATTGGCAGTCTTAAAAGATGCTGGAGATGATCGTGATTGTGAAAATCAGTTAGTGCTTTTGCTAGGTTACGACTGTTTCGACTTCATTAAACAACTCAAGAAATATAGACATACAAGTAAAAAACGTTTCTGAGAAAAATGCATTAACAATTTGCGAATACATATGATATCATTAAACATTTTTGTTAATTCCAGTTGCTTATTGTACTATGTTGGCGTCTTCACAGTCCGAATCAGAACGTCAAAAGATTCGAAATAAAATGAATGACGATCCTGTACTAGCAAAAATTTTGCGACAGTTAGATACAGGTAAAGGTGATGATGATGCTGATGAAACGATGGAAGCAAGGGCACAACGTAAACGGAGAGAAGAAAATGAAGATACTGGCGGTCCTGGTGGGCAAGTTCAAGGCACAAGGAATCTAATAGATTTAGAAGACTTGATATTTGCACAGGGCAGTCATTTTATGGCAAACAAGCGTTGTCAATTACCTGACGGAAGTTTCAGAAAACAGCGTAAAGGGTATTTATATTTATTTGAAAGTCATCTGATATTTTTTTATTTTCAATCATTTAAATTTTTGTATTATTTGTCTTTTATTCTTCTCTAGATACGAAGAAGTTCATGTTCCTGCTTTGAAACCAAAACCGTTTGCAGAAAATGAGAAACTGTATCCAATTGATCAATTACCAAAATACGTGCAACCAGCTTTTGAAGGTTTTAAAACATTAAATCGAATTCAAAGTCGTTTGTTTCAAGCTGCATTAGAAAGCGATGAAAATTTATTATTGTGTGCGCCAACAGGTGCTGGTAAAACCAATGTTGCTCTTTTATGTATGATGCGTGAAATTGGGAAACATATTAATGCAGATGGTACGATTAACGCAGATGAATTTAAAATAATTTATGTTGCACCGATGCGCTCTTTGGTACAAGAAATGGTTGGAACTTTTGGTAAAAGATTATCTACGTATAATTTAACTGTGTCAGAGTTAACCGGTGATCATCAATTAACGCGGGAACAGATAGCTGCAACTCAGATTATTGTCTGCACTCCCGAAAAATGGGATATTATAACCCGGAAAGGAGGAGAGAAAACCTTCACTTCGTTGGTCAGATTAATCATTATTGATGAAATTCATTTGCTACACGATGAGAGGGGCCCTGTTTTAGAGGCTTTAGTAGCTCGGACAATTAGGAATATTGAAACAACGCAGGAAGATGTGAGACTAATTGGCCTCTCTGCAACATTGCCAAATTATCAAGACGTTGCAGCATTTTTACGTATAAAACCAGAATCAGGATTGTTTTATTTCGATAATAGCTTTAGGCCTGTTGCGTTGGAGCAGCAATATATAGGCGTGACAGAGAAGAAAGCGTTGAAACGTTTTCAAGTAATGAATGAAATTGTGTATGAGAAAACAATGGAACATGCTGGCAGGAATCAAGTCCTGGTTTTCGTGCATTCGCGGAAAGAAACTGGGAAGACAGCACGCGCTATCAGAGATATGTGTTTGGAAAAAGACACGTTAGGGCAATTCCTTCGAGAAGGATCCGCGTCGATGGAAGTTTTAAGAACAGAGGCTGAGCAAGTTAAAAATCAAGAACTGAAGGATTTGCTACCTTATGGTTTTGCTATTCATCATGCTGGTATGACCAGGGTAGACAGAACATTAGTTGAAGATCTTTTTGCAGACAGACACATACAAGTTCTAGTATCCACGGCGACTTTAGCTTGGGGTGTCAACTTACCAGCACATACAGTTATCATAAAAGGGACTCAAGTCTACAATCCGGAGAAAGGCAGATGGGTTGAATTAGGCGCTCTAGACGTGTTGCAAATGTTGGGCAGAGCTGGTCGTCCGCAGTATGATACTAAAGGTGAAGGTATTCTCATAACGAATCATAGCGAACTTCAGTACTATCTATCTCTACTAAATCAGCAATTACCTATTGAATCGCAATTAATCAGTAAAATGTCAGATATGTTAAATGCAGAGATAGTGTTGGGCACTATACAGAATATTAGAGATGCGGTCACTTGGTTAGGCTACACATACTTGTACATTAGAATGCTTCGCTGTCCAAGCTTGTACAGCATAAGCCAGGATAAGTTGAAGGAAGATCCGTTACTCGAACTACACAGAGCAGATCTTATTCATTCATCCGCAGTGGGATTGGATCGCAGCGGCCTGATCAAATACGATCGAAAATCTGGGAATTTCCAAGCCACTGAACTGGGCCGAATAGCGTCGCATTATTATTGCACTCACGATACGATGGCTATATACAATCAGTTATTGAAACGCACTCTGAGCGAGATTGAATTGTTCAGAGTATTCTCATTGTCTAGCGAGTTCAAACATATAAACGTGAGAGAAGAGGAGAAGTTGGAATTGCAAAAGTTGATGGAGAGGGTGCCAATCCCAGTGAAGGAGAGTATAGAAGAGGCAAGTGCGAAGGTCAATGTACTTTTACAAGCGTATATCTCACAATTGAAGCTCGAAGGTTTCGCTCTCATGTCTGACATGGTATTCGTTACACAATCAGCGTCACGATTGATGAGAGCCATTTTCGAGATCGTATTGTTTCGTGGCTGGGCGCAGCTAGCGGACAAGTGTCTGTCTCTGTGTAAAATGATAGATCGCCGAATGTGGCAGTCGATGTCGCCACTCAGACAATTCAGGAAAATGCCAGAGGAGATTGTGAAGAAGATCGAGAAGAAGAATTTCCCTTGGGAGAGGTTGTATGACTTAGGGCCGAATGAAATCGGCGAACTGATCCGCGTACCAAAGCTAGGTAAAACCATTCACAAGTATATTCATCAGTTTCCAAAACTGGAGTTGTCGACGCACATTCAGCCAATTACCCGGTCAACGTTGAGAGTGGAACTGACAATTACACCAGATTTCCAGTGGGACGAGAAGGTACACGGTGGCTCTGAAGCATTTTGGATCCTAGTCGAAGACGTGGACTCTGAAGTGATACTCCACCACGAGTACTTCCTACTCAAGGCCAAATACGCGACCGACGAACATTTGATTAAATTCTTTGTCCCTGTATTCGAGCCTTTGCCACCGCAGTATTTCTTGCGCGTCGTATCGGACCGATGGATCGGCGCGGAGACGCAGTTGCCCGTCAGCTTTCGACATTTGATCCTGCCAGAGAAGAATCTACCACCGACCGAGTTGCTCGACTTACAGCCGCTCCCGATCACCGCGTTACGCAACTCCAAGTTCGAGAACATCTACGCGGACAAATTCCCGCAGTTCAATCCGATACAGACACAGGTATTCAATGCTATTTACAATTCGGACGATAACGTTTTCGTTGGCGCACCCACAGGCTCTGGCAAAACAACTATCGCAGAGTTTGCCGTGTTACGTTTGCTTACTCAGAATCCAGAGGGCAGATCCGTATACATGGTGAGCAAGGAAGCCTTGGCAGAATTGGTTTACGTAGATTGGTCGGCGAAGTTTAATCAGCAGTTAGGCAGGAAGGTGGTTCTTCTCACCGGCGAGACAGGGACGGATTTGAAATTGCTTGCGAAAGGGCAGATCATAATCACGACTGCCGACAAGTGGGACGTACTGTCGCGAAGGTGGAAACAGAGGAAAAATGTACAGAACATCCAGCTGTTCATCGTTGACGAGCTTCAGTTAATTGGCGGGGAGGAAGGACCTGTGTTGGAAGTCGCGTGTTCAAGAGCCCGGTACATTTCCTCGCAGCTAGACAAACCGACTAGGATCATAGCGTTGTCCGCTTCGCTCGCTGATGCGAAAGACGCTGCTCAATGGCTAGGCGCACCAGCTGCTGCAACTTTCAATTTTCATCCGTCCGTCAGGCCGGTACCACTGGAGTTACACGTGCAAGGGATAAATATTACCCACAACGCGTCCAGGTTGGCTGCCATGGCAAAGCCGGTGTACAACGCTATACTGAGACACGCGTCTCACAAGCCCGTGATTGTTTTTGTACCTACTCGTCGCCAAGCCAGACTAACAGCCATCGATTTGTTAACATTCACCGCAGCTGAAGGGCAACCATCTCGGTTCTTCCACGCGGAGGAAGCTGACATCAAACCGTTCCTGGACAGAATGACGGACAAAACGTTGAAAGAAACACTCTCGCAAGGTGTTGCTTACCTTCACGAAGGTCTCTCCGTGGACGATCGCCATCTGGTCGAACAGCTTTTCGAGAGCGGTGCTATTCAAATAGCAGTTGCCACGAGAGACCTGTGCTGGGGTTTGTCCATCAGTTCTCATCTTGTCATCGTTATGGATACACAATGTTACAATGGAAAGACACACGCGTACGAGGATTACCCCATAACCGACGTTTTGCAAATGGTAGCGCGAGCGAATCGTCCATTGGAGGACGACGATGCTAAATGCGTACTTCTCTGTCAAAGCTCGAAGAAAGACTTCTTCAAGAAATTCCTGAACGAACCTCTGCCCGTGGAGAGCCACCTGGACCACCGATTACACGATCATTTCAACGCAGAGATCGTGACTAAGACGATTGAAAACAAACAAGACGCGGTTGATTATCTTACATGGACTTTCCTTTACAGGCGACTCACGCAGAATCCAAATTACTACGGGTTACAGGGTGTGACGCACAGGCATTTGTCGGATCATTTGTCCGAATTGGTGGAGAGTACTCTGAGTGATTTGGAACAGGCAAAATGCGTTGCCGTGGAAGATGAAATGGACACGCTGCCCTTAAATCTCGGCATGATCGCCGCCTATTATTACATCAATTACGCAACGATTGAATTGTTCAGCCTTTCGTTGAACAACAAGACCAAGATCAGAGGTCTGTTAGAGATTATCTCAGCAGCGGCTGAGTACGAGACTGTCCCAGTGCGGCAGCGCGAGGAGAATTTGTTAAGGAGCTTGGCAACCAGGCTTCCGCATGCACCTCAGGCTGCAAGGATGGCTGACCCCCATGTGAAGGCGCAACTTCTACTGCAGGCGCATCTGTCCAGAATACAACTTGGCCCGGAACTGCAGAAAGATACGGAATTGGTGTTGAGCAAGGCTATAAGATTGATACAAGCCTGCGTCGACGTTCTAAGCTCGTCTGGTTGGCTGGCTCCTGCTGTGGCTGCTATGGAACTGGCACAAATGGTCACCCAAGCAATGTGGTCTAAAGACTCTTATCTGAAACAGTTGCCACACTTTGCCGCCGAGACCATCAAACGTTGCACAGACAAGGGAGTGGAGACGGTGTTTGACGTGATGGAATTGGAGGACGATGATAGGAATCGGCTTTTGCAGTTGTCTGAGACTCAAATGGCGGACGTTGCCAAGTTTTGCAACCGTTACCCCAACATAGAGATGTCCTACGAGGTTCAGGATAAAGATAAGTTGCGCAGCGGTGGCACGGTGAACGTTATCGTGCAGCTTGAAAGGGAAGACGAAGTCACAGGTCCAGTTGTAGCGCCCTTCTTCCCACAGAAACGCGAGGAAGGCTGGTGGGTCGTCATCGGCGATCCAAAGACCAATTCGTTGTTGTCCATCAAGAGATTAACACTGCAACAAAAGGCAAAGGTCAAGCTCGATTTTGTAGCACCTGCTCCTGGCCAACATTCCTACACTCTCTATTTCATGAGCGATGCTTATTTAGGCTGCGACCAAGAATACAAATTTACTATCAATGTAGAGGAGTATGAGTCTGACGTCAGTTCAGGCTCAGAATCAGACTAAGAAAAGAAGAATTAAAAGGATATTTATTAAGCATTGTATGTATTATAATTACCCATTGATCTTTTACAAATATAATCCCAAGGAAGTGTCAGTTTTTTTAAATTATCATATTCAAGCAAGAATCAATAATATATACGTAGATATAATAGTATATGTATATATACTATTAAATATGTCGTAAAATAATAGTCTCTATATATCAATATAATTAAGTACAAAACACACATCATTTTGAAATCAGAAAGATTCTAGCTTTTAGGCATTGTTTAGACTAAGCAGATTAAGCAGATTGTACATGTAAACTCATTCATAAACTCGTTTAATGATACTATACTTTTATCGATTCTGTACCATTTTCTTTGGATCTAGCAATTTTCTATGGATGTAAATCTATTGAATTGAAAAGGTAAAGGACAAATGTCTAGGTGTAGATTTGGCGAGTGATGTTGAAGATGGAGAAAGTGATGTATTTTCATATTTTTCTAATCTAATACCTACATTGACACACTTCTGTTCAAACGAATCACGAAATGTTAAAAAATCGATAATTACGAAACGAATATTTTCGACATAGAACCGCAAAGGTTTGCCACTACACACGAGCATGTTAGCGATGAGTGAGTGCATGATGAGAAATCGTGCGAGAATTGTCAGTGATAACTGTAGCGTCGTTAGATTGATTAAAAAGCATTGTACGTAATTGTACGAAATTCTGTAAATATATCAATGGTCGTCTTTCTTCACCGTGCATTTGCATAATCTCCTCCGCTCCGATCCACTGATCCTCCATGTAAATGCAGTTGCTTCATAATAATAATAATAATAATAATAATTATCGCAAGTCGCTGAAAAAAAAAAAAAAAGAAAACGAACTGAAATATCATTCAAGTCGTGTGTACATGCGTACATACTTGAAATTCGCCTGGTAAGAGCAGAAAGTCGCGTGGGGTAAGTAGTATTTCAACTAGTTGGCCGTCTAATTGATTGATTGTCCAGACGCCAGTTGCGTTGTTCTCGCAATATCCGCTTCCGGAAGTATCTCTTTGCACAGCGTTCAGCACATAGCGTCTTTATATTCAAATGAAAAAAAGGTTTTACAACTATTCTAATAGCTATTTTCAGATTATCTTGAAATAAATAGAATATGCTTGAAGAAGAAATTATAGAAACAAAAAAATGTATATAACCTATGATAGTTGTATATATACGGCCAGTTAACACGTTCCGTGCCAATGTGTACCACCGGTGGTACACGTTAAACTTGATCTTCAGGCCACGTGTACC